GAGAGAGAGAGAGAGAGAGAGAGAGAGAGAGAGAGAGAGAGAGAGATCAAAGATTCATGAGAAAGAGGGGATGATCATTGGGGCATAGTCCTAAAGGAGATGAGATCAAAAATTTAAAGAATTTTTAAGAATTTAAAGCTGGAAGGGACATCTAGTACAATGTCTTCTGGTATTTTTTTCACATGAGAAAATTGAGATCCAGAGACAAGTGACTTATCTAAAGTTACACAGCAAGTTAGGGGCCGAGCTGAGAATGAGTGTCTTCAGATCTAATGGTACTGCAATGGAAAAAATGGCACTTCATCATTTGAGACTGGAGGACAGATAGAGAAATGGGTGAGGATGTAGAGAAATTTTGAGGCATAGAAAAGGAGAACTGAGGAAGTTTGTATGGTTTGACTCTTCTCAGTAAGCGTTCATTGCACAAAGTCTTGGACCTCAGTTCCAGATATTACCATTGTAAAGAAAGTCAGGTCAACAGGCATATATCAAGGACCTAGTATGTATCAGATGCCATGCTAAGTGCTGGGGATACAAAGAACAGCAAAGATAGATGGATAGATAGATAGATGGATGGATGGATGGATAGATGGATGCAAGAATACATAGGTGAATAAATGAATGGATAAATAAATGACCCTTCCTGTCAAAGAGGGATCAGTAATGGAAGAGATAACATGCAAACAACTATGTATATACAAGTTATATACAGATAAAATGGGAGGTAATCTCAGAGTAAAGGCACTAAGATTAAGGAAGACTGAGAAAAACTTTTTGCAGAAGATAGGATTTTAGCTGAGACTTGAAGGAAGCCAGGGAAGCCTGGAAGTAGCACTGAAGAGGGAAAGTATTTTGGAAATGGAGAACAGCCAATGAAAATGCCCAGAGTTGGGAAATGGAGTATCTAGTTCAAGGAACAACAAGGAGACCATTGGCACTAGATTGCCAAGAACATGGGAGGGAGAGGGTGTAAGGTGTAAGAAGATTGTAAAGGTAGGAAGGAGCCAGGTTCTGAAGGGCTTTAAAAGATTTCCATATTTGATCCTGAAAGTAATAAAGAGTCTATTGAATAAGGGTTGTGACATAATCAGCCATGAGCTTTAGGAAGATCAATTTGAGTGCTGATTGGAAGATGTTCTAGAGTTGATGCAGGAAGGCCAACTGGAAGGCTATTGCAGTATTTCAGGTGTGAGGTGATAAGACCTGCATGTCTTTATGCAGAGGAGAGAAGGAAGTGTATACAAAAGTTATTTCCTATACAATAGATAGAGCTTTGGCACCCAAATGGGATAGAAGAGTGAGAGAGTGAGAAGTTTAAGGATGATGCCTGGGTTGTGAGGCTGGGTGACTAGAAGGATGGTTGGACCCTCAACAATAATAATGAAGTTAGGACGAGGGGCAGGTTTGGGGAAAAAGAGAATAAGTTCCGTTTTGGACATATTGAGTTTAAGAAATCTGCTAGATATCCAATTCGAGCTGTCCAATGGACAATGGAGATGCAAGACCAGGAGTCAGCAAAGAGGTTAGGGCTGGACATGGACTAGACATGTAGATTTGAGAATCATCTGCATAGAACTGTAATTGATTCCACGAGAGCTGTTGAAATAACCAAAGGAAATAGCATGAAAGGAGAAGAGAAGAGGGCCCAGGTAAGAGCCTTGGAAAGGTTATGATTCTACAAGGTAAACAGAAAAATACATAAATATGATTGTAGAGCTGGAAAGACCCTAGAACAATAGAAGGTCAAAGCTGGGAGGGACCTTAGAGGTCATTTAGTCCAACACCCTCATTCTACAGCCCAAAGAAAGTTGGAGGGGATGTTAAGGAGCTCACCCAAAGTCACAGGGAAGTGAGTAGGAGGGTCAAGATTTGAATATTGCTCCTCTGGCTTCAATCCAGCTCTCTTTCCACTGTTCCACAGTGCATCCTGGCAAGGGCATGGAACATAGAATATTCTAGCTGGAATACCACATAGTACATTAGAACTGGAAGGGATCTTGGGACAGAGGCTGGAAGCTGGAGCCTTAGAGCTCTCATTTAATCTAGACCCATATTTTTTTAAAGGAGGAAACTAAAGCCCCAGGAGATGAAGGAATGTCATACACAAGTAATAATAGAGCTGGGATTTGAACCCAAATCCAATCATTGAAATTCAATACTTCTATTATCAACATGGTCGCCCTGAAATAAATGGCCTGATTTTAGAGACAAAGAGAGAGCATCCACACAAATACTCAAATATGCATATTGTGTGTGTGTGTGTGTGTGAACAAGAGTCTTACAAAGTTTGTTTGCCGCATATTTGCAGCTCATATGAAGGGAGCAAATATTATTGTCTGTCTTCATTGAGGGTGTGCTTTTATTACACAGGGAGGATGTGTCCTGGAATAAACTCTAAATAAACCCAAAAATGAAGGTAAAGGGTATAAATTTGAACTCAAGGAGGAAAAGGCAATCTAATCCAGTAGTTTAGGAATTATTAAAGTTTGAAAGGGACTTCAGACATTGTCTAGTCAAGCTCTGCTTTTTTGTGGAGGAGGAAACGGAAGCATGGGGCTATGTAGGAAGTTAGTGACCAACTTGGTCAGAGCTGAAGGGACCTTAGAGATCATCTAGTCCAGGAGTTTTTAACCTTTTTTATGCCACAGATCCCTTTTCCAGGAGTCTGGGGAAGCCTCTGAACCCCTTCTCCAGAATAAGGTTTTTAAATGCATAAAATAAAAATATACAGGATTTACAAAGGTGACCAATTATATCAAAATAGTTGTCAAAACATTTTTAAAAAGCAAGTTCATGGCCCTCAGGTAAAGAATTCCTGATTCTAGTCTAGCTCCCTCATTTTAAGGCCCAGAGAGGGGAGAGAATCTGTCTAAGGGCACACAAGCAGTAAATAGTAGAAGTGAGATTAGAACCCAGGTGTTCTGGTTCTTAATTCAATGCTCCTATTGTTTCGGTCAGTGTTCTTTCCTGTCCATACCATGAAGATGGGAAGGAGGTGGGGGCAGAGGCCCAGATACAGAAGAGGGGCTGACCTAGGGGTATGTGGAGAGGATGGGTAATGAATGAGCTGAGTGTCACTGATCCCTCTGGTGATTTCCCCTACATCTCCATTTACTGTTCCACCTGTTTTCACAGACTTGTCTCAGGACTCTGCTTCTTCCTTATGCATGCTGCCCCAGGCCCCAGCACTGGCCCTGGTCTCTGCTGCAGTCCCAACCCCAAGCAATAGCAGCTGTGCCTTGTACACGGAGGTGCGGCAGGTGGTGGTGGTGGGGCTCATGTTCCTGGCACAGACCCTGCTTGGTGTAGGTGCTGTGCCCATCCAGCCCTTTGGAATCTCCTACATCGATGACTTTGCCCACCCCAACAACTCTCCACTCTACTTAGGTAAGAGTCAAACATGCTGTCCTTAGCCAGGACCCTAGAGAGCTGGGAGGGCGAGTTAAGGATTGGGGCTGGAGTGAGGCTTGCAAATAAGATTGTGGATGAAGTTGGTGTTAGAGTTAGCATTGGGATTAAAGGTAAGGGAGTGGATGGGTTTTAAATTGCATTTGTTAGGGCTGGATTAGGATTCAGATCCAGTATTCAGACAGGGGTTTAGATTTGGACGTAGAGTTAAAGATACATTTAGGATTGGGGCTAGGTTAAAGGATTTGGACCGAGATTAAGGTTCAGTTTTGAGTTTAGGGTTAAAAAGTGATATTAATGTTAGAACTGCATTGGGTTCATTTTGGAATTTGGTTCTTAAGTATGACTGGAGTGGTATTGAAATTAGGGTTAGGTGTTAAGACTGGATTTTCATTTGGGGAGGCAGCTAGGTTGCACAGTGGATATATAGTAGGAAAGGAACTGAGTAAAAATTCATCCTAAGATAATTACTAGCTGTGTGACCCTGGGCAGGTCACTTAACCTCTGTCTGCCTCAATTTCCTCATCTGTAAAATGGAGATATTACCAGAGTTGTTATGAGCATAAAATGAAATAATATTTGCAAAGTGACTTGCCAATCTTAAAGTACTATATAAATGCTAGTTGTAGCAGCAGGAATTGGGACTAAGATTGGAAATACATTTTAGGATTCAGCTTTGGGTTGCGGTTAGGGTTAGAACAAGGGTAGGGTTTGTGGCTGTGTTTGGATTGAGATTAGGACTGGGCTTAAAACTGGGGTTTTAATTAGTCTTACCAGTGGTTAAAGGATAACCTTGAGCTAGGGCTAAGAGAGCATCTAAGAGCTTTCCTTGTCCAGACAATGGGTATGGAGGGAGGCGACCCTTAGCTTTTATCTGATCAAACCTTTCTGGAGGTGGTAGGGGCATGTTCTCACACTGAATCATTGGAAAGAAGTGACTTTATCCCACCTCCTGACAGTAAGGTGATAAACTCAAGATACAGAATGAGAAATATACACATTTTTGGACATGGCCAATGTAGAAATTTCTTTTGCTTGACTCCACATATTTGTAACAAGCATTTTATTTTTCTTGTTTTTTTTTCCCCAATGAGGGAAGTGGGAGGGTGATTTCTTCATTGAAAATAATAAAATTAAATTTTTTTGTAATGAAAGAAGTGGCTTAGTAGAAAGTGTGGAAGAGCATTTGGGTTGCTTGGCTTGGATCTGTGTATTGAGCTGTCTCAAGATGTACCAGGCTATCTCAGGAAATTGTGAATTCCCCATTATTGGAGATCTTCAAGCAGAGGATGGATGGTTACTCATCAAGGACACTTTTGGAGGGAATTCCTGTTTGGGTACAGGCTAGAACAAGGGCCATCTGAGATCTCTCTTCCAACTAGGAGATTCTGTGAAGCTTTGAGAGAATGAGAAGTATGTGTCAGGGCTTTGGACGAGAAATCCTGGGCTATGCCTTGACCCTGAGATTCTATGCCACGAACAGGGATCCTGTTTGCTGTGACTCTCGTTGGACCAGGGTTGGCCTATGGGCTTGGAGGCCTCATGCTGAGGTTTTATGTGGATATTGACCGGATGCCTGAAGGTAAGTTCCCTTTCCCTAATTCTCCCCCTCCTCGGCATCCTTCTACCAGTGGAAATGGAGGGGACGAGGGAGGAGAAGGGAGGGTGTGACAATCCCAGAGATCCAGAGAGAACATGGAACTAGATTGGTGGGGCATTACAACTGGTTTTATTGCAGCATCTAATTGATATTGTCTACTCTGAAGGCTCACCCCTGTACCATGGGGGAAGACAAAAGCAAATGTAATCCTTATCCTAAAGTTTCTTTTTTTATACTCGTCTCCTTAATGCCTAGCTCACTGCCTGGTACATAATAGGTGCTTAATAATGCTTGTTGACTGATTTAGGAAAATTTGAGGGGAGAGAGAGAGAGAGAGTGAGAGAGAGAGAGAGAGAGAGAGAGAGAGAGAGAGAGAGAGAGAGAGACTGAGACTGCTTTCAGTTGGGGAAGTGCAGTCCGGGAGGGTTGAGCCTCTGGCAATGGCCTAGGCTTGCAGAAAGAGTGGTTTATACATCTTAAAACAATGTAGGAAAAAGGGTCCTGCTGTTATTATTCTTTTAGTTCAAAGAAGGAGCTGAAGTATCAGGAGGATGACTCTGGATCTTTCAGAGGGGGAACAGGATGCCCAGACACTAATCCCTAGGCCCTCCTGGAGTCAGGAAAGGGGTGGGGTGGAGTAGTGAGGAGAGAACAGTGCGGTACAGGGAAGCCTCACTCAGTTTTTGAGCTGCCCAGACCTGTCTCTGGTCTGTGGTGTCAACTTCCTAAAACCAGAGGCTTAGCGCTTCAGTGAGTCTTGGCTTGTGGGAAGCCACGGGTGCCACCACCACCCTCCCCACCACCACCACCACCACCACCACCCCCACCCCAGGATTTACAAGGAATCTCAAGGAAAGGAAGGGGCAATGAGGGCTGCAGCCTTCCCTTCTGGGTTTTTTTTTTTAATTTTTCAATTGACAAATATTTATTTTCTCTCCCTCCTAGCTCCCCCTTTCATTTTGAAAAAAAAAAAAGAAAAGAAAAACAAAATTCTTATAACAAAAACACAGTCAAGCCAAACGAATTCCCACATTGGCCAGGTCCAAAAATATATGTTTCATTCTGCATCCTGAGTCCATCACCTGCCTCTCTGTCAGGAGGTGGGAAGCTTACTTCATCATCAGTCCTCTTGGGCCTCGACCTGATTTCACATTATTCCCCTTCATATATTCTGTTACCGGCAAATCATTTTACTCTACGTTCCCCAACCTAGTCCTGCCCCTTCCTCACTCTCATTTATGCAAACAGTCCCCTAGGCCTAGGACACAGTCTCTCCTCATTTCTACCTGTCAGAAGCGCCAGGCTCCCAGCTCAGATGTCCTGATTTCCAGGAAGTCTTCATTGAATTTCCATCTCTCTCTTTCCTCATGTTTCCTTTGGGCTCCTTTCCTGGATCTCTCCTTTCCCCTTTTCACATTCTGCCTTGGATCCTAGTTATTTATGTAATTCTTGTTTCACTCTCCCAATCATCACTCCCATCACACCCCAGTACACTTCCTATTAGATTGTAAACAGGCTGTCAGGGTCCCCGTCATCTTCACCTTTGTCTTGTCCTTTCCTCAACGCCTCCTCCAAACTTTGGGCCCTAGGACAAATCTCTCAGCCTTGGTTGATCTCATTTTAAAGTCTAACATAAAACTCCTAGGGATGCCTTTCCTAGCCCTTTAATTTTCTCTGCTCCTTGGGTTCAGAGAGCTGCTACCGCCTCCCCTAGTTACCTTCCTTCCTTCCCCCGCCACTGCCACCACAACAGGGCCTGGATTAGAGCATCTGCTCCCTATTTTCCCTTCACTTCAGAAAGTGCCCACTATGTGAAAGGAACAATGCCAATCTCTGGAGCTGCAGAGGTGTATGAACTGAACCAGTGTCTGCCCTCAAGTACGTTTTACTCCAGCTCCATCCCCACTCCTACTCTGGACCACAAGCTCATATTTTCAAGATTTATTTGTTACCCCTTACAAAGGAAAAAAAAAAGAAGACTATGCACATTCAGAGACAATGGCTCCTATTTCTGTATGACTTGGAATTTTCAAAGCACCTTCCACATTTAAGGGAGGAAGGTGGTCTTACTACCATTTTACATATGAGAAAACTGAGACTCACAGCAGTTCCTAAGATTCACCAGTTGCATAGGATTTAGGCCTGGGAAAGGGCCATGGTTATCTGTTAATCGAAATCCCTTCATTTCACCGAGGATAATGAGCCCTTTGGGGAAGGAGTGGGGCAGAAGGAACTGAACTGAGATCCCACAGGTGCAAGAGAAGTCAGTCCATCAACGAGACTTTATTGGTGCTTATGGTGTGCCGGGCACACAATAAAATAAAAATTAAAAAAAATAAGCAGGAAAGGGGATAGGGCAGAGATGATACAAAATAAAACAAGAAAACAGTCCCAGCCCTTGAAGAGCTTAGAGTCTAATGAGCAGAGGTGGGATTTAAACCCAGGCCTACTGACTCTGAACCCAGTGCTTTCTCTACTTTTTCCAGTAATGCCACAGACACACATACACACATGCACATATATGTATGTATACATACATGCACATGTGTATATGCATATTTGTGTGTGTACACAGTACAGATATGTGTGTATGTATATACATATACACATATGATATATTGATACATATCAATCACATGCATATGTGTGTATATGTGTATTTGTGTATGTGTGTATACATGCATATACATTTAGAGACATACACACAGTGTACACATATACATATATGCACATATATACATGCATACCATATATGTGCATTGTACATGTTGTGTATGTATATATGCATGTATGTGTACGTTCACAGACATACAAGTTCCTGGCCTGGCTACCTTGAATTTCATTTAAACTCTTATGATTATCTCTTATGATAAGATACCTCCCCTAACTTCTCTGCAGATTTGGGGAGGAGGTCTATGTGTGTGGAATGTTGAATATAGTGTCTGATTGTTTTTTTAATATACTGATTGGTTCTGCTGATTTCTTTCTCATCTTCCTCTTCCATATATTTGCATGTCATTTTAAGTTTGCAAAATGCAAATCCGTTCCCAAGAGCCTTCTGATCATAGGATCGTAGCTTTAGAGTTGGAAGGGACCCCAGAAAGCTTCTAAAATGACCCTCATTTTACAGATGAGGAAGGAGGTTCAGAGAGAAGGGACTTACTTATTTAAGGTCATATAAGCTATTAAGTGGCAGAGCAAGGTCTGAAGGCTTGATTCTAAGCCAGCTGCCAGGTCCAGATGAGCTGGCATATAAACTTTATAATTTATTCTTTAACTTTGTTTTCTTATGCTTAATTCAGTGCTCATGAAGTTCTCTAGCCTGGAAGCCCCTCACCACAAATATCTGCCTGCTCCCCCTAGTGTCCTTGTATCCCAGAGCAATTAATTGTCATTGGGCCATTTTGCTTCTCTAGCCTCAACTCATTGGACCATTTTATAAGACTAGGCTCACTCTCACCCAGTAAGCAAGTGTCTTTGTCAATGACATTCTGCAGTTGTTTGTTTCACCCTCATTCTTTCCCAATTCCTGGCTATCTAACTTTTATTAAATTTGTGTGTGTGTGTGTGTGTGTGTGTGTGAGGCAATTGGGGTTATGTGACTTGCCTAGGGTCACACAGCTAGTAAGTGTTATGTGTCTGAGGCCAGATTTGAACTCAGGTCCTCCTGAATCCAGGGCCAGTGCTCTATCCACTGTGCCACCTAGCTGCCCCTCCTCTGTAGATTTTGGGGAGGGGAGCGGAGAGGAAGGTCTTTGCGTGTAGAATGTTGAATATGTTATCAGATGTTATTTTTTGATGCATTGATTGGTTTTGCTGTTATCTTTCTCATTTCCTCTTTTTAAATTTTTGTTTTAAAAGAGGGGGAAGGGAATTAAGGAATGAATGAAATATTTATTAAGCATTTACCATGTGCAAAGCATTGTGGGGATACACAGAAAAATAGGACGGTCCCTACTCTCAAGGAGCTCATGTTCTAATGGGGGGAGATAATACATATGGACAGTTTCAACTGCAAGTGAGACGGAAAACTCCCACGGTCCTTAGGGTACAGGGGCAAAACAAATGGTAACGTGTCTTCATTATTATCAATTCCGCTGATAAAATCACTTCCTTTTCTGATGTGGAGCCATCTGACAGTGCCAAGGCCTTTGGTGGCAAGAACTTTCCTTTCTGGGTCTTGAGAAGCTGGGGTGGTTGCCAGGCTGCATCTCCATAGAGTTTGCTTCCCAGGATGATGGCTGAGGGTGCTGGGCTGGAAACACTGCTATTCCCAAGGCTCATGGGATGGATACAAGTGGAAGTTTAGGTGATTTAAAAAGAAAAGATATTGATAAGAAAAAAATTTTAACCTTGTATCTTTCTGCATCATTTGGAGCAGAGATAAAACTAGAAAGAGGACTCAGACTGAGTCTCTGGGTTGGAAGTTAGAGGACACCTATTCCAACCCCTCCCTGAGCACAGGGTGGGAGACTGACATTGACGAGGAAGCTTCCTTATTGTTGAGAGTGAGGTCCAGCTAGAACAGCAGTCAGCAAATGACACCGCCCTCTGCTTGTTTTTCTCTGGCCCCCTCCGTATAGATTTGAAAAAACAAAATGAAACAAAGCAAAACACAGCCCTAAGAAGTGGTCCTCTAGCAAGACTGGAGGGTCATGTGACCTCCTGCCCATTCTGTTTTTGGAGCCCTCCAATTACTAGGAAAGTCTCGGAGGATGGAAGGGAGGTGCATGTACACAGTATCCAGCCCTGGGCTTTAAGCTTTGCTGAACGGCGTCAGCATCCTGAGGATTTTTGCTTTCCCTACCTACTGGTCCAGGAGCCCTTTACATTTGGGCCCGATGCTTCCTCCCTTATTAATTTCTTGAAGCCCTAGTTGAGTCTTACTAATATCCTGACCCACCTGGTCCCTGGGTTCAGCTGGCTCCCTGGTCTCAGGGATGCACAGCCCGTGGTCCGGCATGACAATGTCTTTTCCCCTT